TCTGTTGGTACATCACAAAAACTTTAACCTTGCTAATATTTTTTGAATGAGACAAGATAGGGCTTTCATATTACATATGTTTAACAGTATATTACCTTTGATGAGACCTTTCTAAATACACTATGATTTTTGACCCCTTTACCAGTTTGACATACTTTTAATAATTTAAATATTACTTTGAATTGGCCATAACTTTTGAATGAGAGGAGATATAAATTGCATATCAAACATGTGTATTACCTGTGACAAGACCTTTCTAAATACACTATGATTTTTGACCCCTTGACCTTGAAGTTTGACATACTTTTCAAAAATTAAAGCATTACTTTGAATCGGCCATAACTTTTGAATGAAAAGAGATAGAGCTTTTATATTAAGCATGTGTATTGCCTGTGACAAGAGCTTTCTAAATAATTTAAAATTATGATTTTTAGCTCACCTCAACAACAAAGCATTGGGGGAGCATAATTTTTGAATGAAAAGAGATAGAGCTTTTATATTAACCATGTGTATTGCCTGTGACAAGAGCTCTCTAAATAAATTAAAATTATGATTTTTAGCTCACCTCAACAAAGTTGGGGGAGCTTATGTGATACCCTAAGCGTCCAAGAATAAGGTTTTTGGAGCTTTTTTCTTTGTAAGTAGTTCTATGCCCTATATTGATCATACATGCATTGAACATATATGCTTAAAGCTGAACACGACTCGTAAATAAGCATATGCCATTTTTGATATCATTATCTACAATAAATCAACACCAGGGTATACTCTTCAGATTTGTCACACCTGACTGCTTTATTGTCACGGGTATCGGCATGGAATGGTGACCTTTATCTGTGTTTGTTTGTGTACTGCACTGAACTCTACAACTATAATTGTAAGTTTATTTGGTATCTTACTTTGCTGCATTAGACAAAGACTATTACGTTGTTATTGTCGCTACTGAATGCTTTATAGCATACGTCTGTCTTAACCAGTTTAGACTGATTACAGGTACAGAACAGTGACTAAGTCCTGCATGCCCTAGCTGTATATAAGGGTCTGCAGGTATATAAGCAATTCTCCAAACAAAAATGGTGGACACATATACCTTTACAAATCCTGTTCAGCTTTAATCTAGTGTGTTTCATTGTGCTAGATGAGGTTTCAGATGGAATGACCAGCTATATATATAAGCTGACCTAATATGATGACAAAACTTGCATGGATGTTTATCTAGGGATGCATATGTTACGTTTTTGACCCTTTTTACAAAGTTTTGGGTTAAAGTAACCATGGGTCTCCCAAGTCTGTATATCAGATAGAAATTATAATACCAAATAACTTTTTATATAAAACTTTATTAAAATAAATTAATTTGTCAAGGATGGGTTATTGAGCGGTAATAAATTGTAAAAGCAAATCTTTCCAATAAATCAATAAGAATGGGATTTTAATATCCCATATATAGTTTTTCCCAAATGTGGGAATACCCAAAAATATTTCTTTTCAATAATAAACTATTTAAAATAAATTTAGATAACCACAGGCATCAGTTCCCAATATTAATAAATTTATCTAATTAATTAATTACCCATCTGCTTTGAGTTTCCCTAGCTGTCCTCGTCAGATTGAGGTAATGAGCAAAAAGCTGCAGATGACAGCTGACAGCTGTTTATATCGTATTACGTTGCTAGTGAAATGACGTACGATCTGCTCCCCTTTCCCGCAATTAGACCTGCACCGGAAGTTTATTGTGCTAAGCGATCTCGATGTAATTAAAAACAATGCGAGATTCGTGGGAATTGGAGTTATGTCAGTTGGAGGATCATACTAGGGTTTACAATGTCAGAATAACATAAAAAGTAGGTTATTTACATAATTTACGATTTAGGGAACTGTCTGTTTGTGTGTCAATCTTTCGTATAAGATTATTTGTCATCTTACGTTCCACACTTATGGAGGAAACTCGGATTGACAACATGTCGATAAAAACAAATGAAATTAAACTATTAAATATCAAACTCATAAATCGTAAAACATACAACCAGACTTGCTTCAGATGCTAGATCTGACCTACATTTTCCAGATGAGTGAACAGGTTTAAGTTTTGGTGCAGTTCTCATCCCAAGTAACTTATAATGAGCCCTATGAAGACCTGAAACTTGTATGGAAGATATACATCTAAGGATGCAAACTACCAGGCTTGCTTTGGATGGTGAAACTGACCTACATTTTCTAGATGAGTGAACAGGTTAATGTTCCCTGTGATGACCAAACTTGCATGGATGATACATCTAGCGATGTTCACTGCGATATTGGAACAAGTAAAAGTTATACAGGTAAATATCAGTAACTCGAACATGGGATATCTCGAATACCCCTCTTATGTCGAAGTCGATCGCCGGTCCTGGCCGTTTTCTCTCTATATATGATTTTAAAAAACCTGATATCTCGAACACGGTAATCTAGAATACCCCGCTTATGTCGATTCATTAGTATATTCAAAGTCCCAAGCCCTTTTTTACCTGGCTTATCTCGAAGTGTAGTGAATTTTTCGGTCTACTGAACACACCTGGCGTCGTGACTTCACACACTCTCGCCAGTGGCTATTAATTAACACCTTCAAACTTGGGGAATCTTAATTAATCCCAAGCTCATGTTGATGTCGGGTATCGATCTGTGAGTCAGGTTAATTGGTTTGACAGCTTGGTGTTTGGTGTAGTCTACGACTGATAAAACAAACCACTTCACAGCAACTCAGAAATTAAATTTTAATATGCTCTGTATAATTAAATTCCTAAATTCATGAAACAAAAATATATTTCACAATAAACTTAAACAGTTAAGTTGCAGTGCATAATGCACAGTGATTGATTACATTCATGTTTATCTGCGTATAAATAGATAACCTTGACCGCTATTTGCATTGTTAGTTTCGTAAACTATGTGTTCCTTAGTAGTACTTCGTAATGTTATACATGTAAGCTATTATCAAGTACACAGTTTGAATACTGATTATTTTTTTAAAAACATTTTGCACTAAATTTCATCAAATTAAGTTTTTAAAAAATTCGTCTTTTTCTTTTCTTACGGAGAAGGTTCTTCAACTATAACGCTAATGATACATCCCGTTTGACCACGTAAGCATGGCCTGGAAAATGTAAATTCACTGAATATGCAATAAGGCATGCATATTAAATTGTTTTACAATTATACATGATAAAGAAAACAACAGCATTGTTTTTCTTAATATTTATTGCGAATATGCCTGAGACTTTACCATAAAGATGCATGTTTTGTAATACAGGATAGTGTTACGCATGAAGATATACGAAAAACGGGACATCGTTGACTTTGGAAGATAACTTCGGATATCTCGAACCCCCGGATATCTCAAAGTCGTGTCCAGGTTCCCTCAACTTCGAGATACTGATATTTCATTGTAGGTGCATTAGTATAACACCAAGAAGCTATAAGGCCTATATTAACCCAATTTGCATAAATGATGCGCATCAAGGGCTGAAAACTCTTCAACCTGCTTCTGATTCTGGATTTGAATTACATTTTCTTGATGGGCGACTAGTTTTAAAAGTTTTTTGATAGGTCTATTTCCAAGTAACTGCAATCCTTATCAGTTCAAAATTGCATAAATTTTGCATTTTTGAATGTTAACTTTTAGAATGTTAATTTGTTGTTGGACTTTGCCTAATAATTAAGACAATTAACATGTCTGTAATATCTGATTACCTTATAATGTTTGATCTTGTGATCTTGAGCTTGAAGTTGGACCTTCTATTCAAAAATACTATTTTTTCCTTGTGACTTTTGATTGAGAAGGGATTAGCCTTGGCTTTCATATTTAACATGAGCATTTATTACCTGCGACAATTATTATATTAAGATATTAATCTGAGCATGCTCAGGGCTCGATATTAGCTTTTTTTCCTTATACTTGTCCATTCGGACAAGTGCATATGACCAAGATATTTACTTGTCCAATCTTCAACTTCACTTGTCCAAAATTTTTTCAATAAATATCTTATTCTGTCAACTTGAAAACAATTACTAAAATTAAAAAAATTAATGTGTTTGATTTATTAGTGTTGTTATTGATAAATAAGACAAACACATATAAAACAAAATTTTATCTAGATTTCCTTTCCTGACAACAACATAAATGTTCGCAAGTGGATCTGTAATATCAATCAAATATATTCCAAACCCGCAAATATCTTAAGATCCACGCCATCAGTATGGCTGCAACTAGTGAACATCGATCCTGATCAAGTGTGAACTTACATAACGATTGATATCGGGATCGAAATTTGAGTTTTTATACTGCTTCCGTTTTTATTCGATAAACTTTATTCAAGTTTTTTTTTTTATTATTATTATTTGAAGACTTCTTTGCATAAAATCACTTTTCCAATATATATATATATAAGGACAAGTGCCCAGCATTATTCACTTGTCCGTAATTTTTTTTCATTGTTACCGCACAAGCCGACAAGGCGTTAATGTCGAGTCCTGATGCTATGATTTCTGACCCCTTGACCTTCACAATTGACCTAATTTTTAAAAAGAAATCAACTTCATTGATATTTACTTCTGAATGACACAATGTGTTAATTAAAAAATGATGTCTCACCCACAAACACACTGCCCTTGAAGAGAGGGACCACAATTCTTTAAATTTCCTTGTTAGTATTTACTGTAAACCAACTTTTATTCATGTGAAAGAAATATTTGTGAGTTTCGCGACCTGCTTTAAGTCGCGAATTTGCATGTAAATCACCACGAACCTTTTATTTTGCTTTGTTTTTTGTAGAAAGTGTTTCCTTATTTGTGAAAATTAATTGCTGCAGATTGATTTCAAATTGATAAATCAGGAATAAAAGATGACGCAAATAATAGTTGGTTTACAGTATTACTTCCAGTTGATTGAATTTTAAGCATTTATTAGGTAGACTCTCTTAGTTGTTTTTATTTAACATATGTTTTTCCTTTGTACATCAGAGATGGCTGACCTTGATGCCCCAGCTGAGGACATCTCGAGTGAGGATGGAGAGTAAGTATATACACTGTTCAATTGTGTTCACATTTTAACTGAAGGAACTTTAAGTTTGAATTTTTGATTTCATGTTAAAAAAGACATACGGTATGCATTTTTAAAAAGTTCAGCATTGTCAGCTTGTTGTCGATCAAGACCCATGTAAAGAGGCATAATTTGAGATAGCATTAGGACATCAATACTTTGTTTTCATATGTTACCCATTTAGCATTGTCACTGTCTGTCTGTCCATATGTGATTGTTAATGATTGAATCTTGCATTACCTTTTTTATATTTTACAGTTTAATTATGTGTTTTTTATACAGCACTGATTTTACATCTATAACTGTAAAAGAGGTATCTTAGGCCTTTTGATTAGATAAAGTATTACATATTTTTATATAGTATACGTGTCTACAGTGGTGTCAACTGATTCAAAAACAGGTCTAATTTTTAATGCAGACACTTTACGAGGGCGGACACATTCCTTTTAAATTCGTCAGCTTTGTAATGAGATATAAAGATTGCCAACCTCCAGCATGTAAATATCTTTTGTAAAAAAATGGTCATAATTCATGACAAATTACCATGATTAAATTTTTACATATATATATAGCAAAAATTAAGAATTCTTTTTTTTGAAAAATGATTCAATTTCTATGACAAAAAATTATACATCTATTTGATATGAAACATGTAAAAAAAATGAGAAATTGAAGGTTTCATATTTCATTATTGACTCTTGAATTAACATGTAACATTTTTTTTTTTAAAAAATGACCTCTTTACTAAGGGATTTAATTAAATTTGAACAGTATACCAATTTCAGTTTTGAAGTTATTTTTCCTCTCTCTTAATTAATTAAATTTCAATATGTTTTTGAAAGTTAAGTATACTGTTTTTCGATTATACATTGTATCAGAATAGTTTTTTTCCCAAGATTCCTTATATGTACATAAATATTGTTTCTCTTTTTGAGGTTCAATCAGAGATTTGTGTTTCCCAGTTTGTTTGTACTGCATTTAACAAATTGTTCTTTCAGAAGCCATTTTAATTGCTTCAAACATTGATTTGTCAAAACAACAAGTTAATATTGTTTAAATTTGCACTGACATAATTAATTTCCAGGAAAAATTAAGATGGAATAGCATTTAAAAAGTCTTTCGACATTTTGGGTTGCCGGTTGTATATAAAACGGGCGATAAGATGACCCAAGCCGGGTCATAAAAAATAGCCCTGGTTATGGGTTGAAAAATCGGGTGTGAACACGAGCCGGGTGAGTTGGCAACTTATAATTAAGGACTTCTTTGTTTATATGCACTTTAGCATCTGTCATTCCACTAAAAATTATTTTTGAAAATTTTGATTATTTTTCCTACAGTTTAGGTTTAAATTTCAGCTATATTTTCCATATCATATATATATTGGAAAAGTTAAAAGGCCCTTGAAATTGGGAATTTTATGAATCAAAAATTGGGAAATTTTTATGTACTTTACGAGGGTTGTCCCAGAAAGTCGTAGACAGGGATAACAGTTTAGTTTCTCTTTGAATTAAATTTCTATTCTTGTCATAGCAAAAAAGTAACTTTTTATGATCATGCATTTCAAGTTTCATGATAATAATATATAAATCTAATATGAAAATTATGTAAAAATAAAGAGAGAATGTTAGTGTACACCGGTGCACGAAAGCAATAGCATAAATTACGTCTGACTCTTAATATTATTAACATGTATTAACATTTAATATTTTTTTTAAGTGATAGACCACTCTTGACTAAGGGATTAAATTTACTAACGTCAGTTTGTTTTTTATTTAATTTTTTTAAACAGATTCAAATTTCAGTTGAAAGTTAGTCGAAAGGCCTTATATATGTTGTAGGCATGCAGTAGGGAAATTACATGTATACACATTGTTTGAGGTCAGTCGCGTCCAGATTGTTCCCAATTGATTGTCCTGCATTTGTACTCTACTTCTTTCATGCCGTAACTATTTTGGTATAAAGGAAAAGAACTCTCATTGAATATTGTGCCCATTTTTTTATCATAACTTTTTTAAAAATTTTATCATAACTTAATTATTTATCTAGGAGACCTAGTAGTGTGAGGTGGATCCTTGCTAATTTTTTGGTCTGTCGTCATCCGTCTGTCCACCGTGTGTTACATTTGAACATTTTCATTCCAACACAACCCTAATTAAAATTTCCCAAATTTGAAAACGATATGGTCCCTTATCAAAAATTTCAAGAACTATCAAAAAGAATTTTATCGTCTGAGGGTTGTCCCACGTCTTCGTTTAACATTTGATATTTTCATTTTAAGGAAATTTTAAAAATTCATATATCATTTTTGACATCATCGGCAGTCTTAAATTTTTTTGGTAATAGATATTGAAATATTTGCTGTTGAAATTTCACCAGAGAACCCCTCACTTAAGTGAAAATATTAAGCTGTAGCACAATCAATTTTAAATGAAAATTACAAAACACAAACAAATTTTTTAATTAAGGACCATGTTTGTTTTATTGCCTGATTTTTTATTAATGTATGTCATTCAAACGCATTCACAATGTTACAGCAATAGCTATATATATTCTCCATGACAAAAGTGACTTTGCTCATTTAAATATTCGGTTGTCCATGACGCCATTACAAGACATTTTTCAAAAAATTTTAAATGAAGGAAAGTTATGATGAGAATAGCCAAGCGGTGAATTTTATGGCCCCCGGGTCAGTGAAAATTCAATTATATTTACATTCATTTTCTTACCTCTCATATACTAAAAAGTACTAATTTTTTAAACTAACTAAGTGCATAGTTATGATAAGCAAGAAAAGTGCGATACCACAAATATAGATTTTTACAATTTTTGGTACACAGTCATTGATATATATTTTACATGAATTCTTTGACTGTTTATCTTTGCTGTCTCTCTAAATTAAATCAAATTATAAGTATAAAAAGAATGCAAGCAAAATTGTTTTGTATGAATCAGGGTCAATATTATTATTTTACTGTATGATTATTATAGTGAAAATACATGAATACAGGTTTTAGCTAGTTATAATAACTAGTACGTAGTTAATTTGCAAATTTCCAACCAACAATTGTGAATTTTAACGCGACAGGATTAAAGGGCTGGGGCATTTGAAATATTGAAAATACATGAAGTTCTTTGAAAACATGTATTAATTTCCAGTTATATAAACTGTATTTATTTTATTTTTTCATGAAGGGGCCAGTAAAATTTTGAATTTTTATGGCCCCAGGGTCCGATTCTGGTGTTAGGGCGGGGCCCTATTGATTATTAGTGAAAAATTAAATCTTTGAAAATTTTCTTCTCTGTCTCTGGGAAGAACTGCAGATGAACTATAGTTATGATAGTGATCTAATTAAACTTCCTTGAAAAAAGAGCGCACTCAAGGGAAGCTACTCTAGATCATGGAAATAGTTTCGATAAAATCGATGTATTTCACGTATCAGCCCAGGCAAAATCCTAATGGCGGAAATTTCATAGCTGTCAAAATTTCTTGTACAGGTGATTAATTTTGCCGGTTGCCGGCTCTTATTGAAAACACTGCCATAACTATTTTGGTATAAAGGAAAAAAACTCTCATTGAATATTGTGCCTATTTTTTTTATCATAACTTTTTTTTTTTAAATTTTATCATAACTTATTTATTAAAATATGGTGTGTTAATGTCACTTAATTCTGTACTCTTTTTTCCCCATCTTTGATGTATATAAAGCATATCCAACACAATTTATTACATCTTCATGTGCCGGTTACTCATTTGACGACATCATTTTTATCAAACTCAATTCCAACGATACTATGAAAATCATGACACAAATCGTCTGGTTCTAAAGCTATTTATTTGAAATTTTGACATATTATTAAGATTTTGATTCTGGTTTCAGTGATATAAATTTTAGTTCAATGTATTTATATGAAAATTTGACTTTGATTCTGGTTTTGCTGATTGAAATTTGAATTCAATCTTTTTCATAGTACTAAAGAAATAAAAGCAAATGTAATAGTTATATGCGTAAATTATTCCGAATTTTGTGCATGCCCCGACAGGCCTTATCAGCCTTTACATAAATCATCCTAATATTATTAATATGAAAGATATATATTTAAAAATTCACAATTTAATTAAAGAACATTGAATATATTATGCGTATGCAAAACTTGGTTAGTATTGGTAGCATATGTTTAAAAAATTATAAACATTGTCTACAACTTTTTGGGACAACCCTCATATCATGCATGTTTATGTGCGGCATAAATTATATCCAACAAAATGCCTAACATTGACCTTTTATATAGGAAATATCTTTAAAAATCTTCTTCTCAAGAACCACTGGGCCAGGAAGCATTATGGGATTGTGTATTCTAAATTGTTAAAATCATTACCCCTGGGGGTAGGTCTGTGCTACAATAGGTATTATTATTAGGTGTCTGTCCATAACATAATAACATGAGTAATCCATTTTTTTCCCTTCCACTTTTGAAAGTGTTTATAATTTTTAAAACATGTTTATCACATGCCATGCTGCACCAATATGTGAGGAAATTAGGTGAAAGGGGCAAAAATTTCTCTGTATATACAGATCGAAATATATAACGAAAAAAAACTTTTATAAAAATCAAATTGCCTTAATAATATTATTTCAAATTTGTCCACGCAACAAGAGAAATAAAACAATGACAGAGTTTGATCCTGGACTTGTGATTGTAGCCCATTTGAGGAGAGGTTTCGATTGCTGCGTGAGGAAGTGCAGGCACTCAGATCTTTCGGACTAGAGCTCCAGGAGGAGCTGCGGCTAATGGATGAGGAGAGTGAGGTAAACATTAACAGTAACATGTACAGCTCATACCCTGTTTACAAAAAAAGTTTATATTTCACGGGTGTATTCAATTTGTTAAACTCGGTACAGAACACTGAGCACGGACTGACTTTATACTGCCAGTGGGTGTATGTTTTGGTATAGAACATTTCTACTCTGAATTTTCTATATTATAGTTTTAATATTATTCATTAATACACAACTAAATTGCCACTTTTCTTAAGTATCAAGAATAAAAATTATAATTTGTGAAAGTGCAAGGATGTGTCAATCAAACCATCCAGAAATACTAAGTTTCAATTACTTTGAGATGAAAAAAGATATTTATTATATTTTCGTGTGAAATGCTATTTGAAGTTAATATTTTAAAACTTTCTTGAGTTTCTCTGACCTTGTTACTAAAGCATACGTAACCTGTACATAAAAACATGACATAATTAATAAAATACATTCTCTTGATAGTTAATGAGTAATCGCACTATACAAAGGATATAAATTGATATTAATCGACTATTTAAAACCTGTAAATAATATTCCGTTTAATGATAACATGTATTTTTCATTGTTAAAAAATTCCTCAATCTGTCTCTCGCAGCACATGAAATACGTCATTTTTATCAAAATGACGTCATGTTTACAAGTTCATCGAGATCAGTGCTTTGTTTATAACCAGCTACATGGGATTTATACTAGGAAATTTTTTTAATGCATTTATAAGTTTTCTTGTTGTTTATTTTGCTAATACAGTTAAAAGTTGCAAATTATTTCATTTTCAGGTATTATGAGAAATACATAAAAGTCATATTTTTGTGTGACGTCACAGTAAACTTTTCCTGTATAAATTAGGCCCCACCCCCTTTTTCAAGCCTTAACAGTGCTGCGGAAGGGCCACACCCTTATTCAGGGAGGGGGGTTAATTCAGAAAAAGTGAAATTTTGTTTGCATGTTTTAAAAATCAGTGCTACTCTCAATTAAGAACTACTATGCCAAAAAAGTTGAAACTTCTGGGGAAAAGTCTAAGGTAGTGTTAAAGATTCAAAATGGACAATCAAAGTTTTACAAAGGAATATGTTTGGAAAATCTTTAAAAAGTCTTCCTCCCAAACACAACAAAGCCATAATTAGTCATATTTATATGCAAGCATCCTTAGGTAGTGTAGATTCATGTTTTTTTTCAATTCATGACCCCCTGTGATAGGGTGAGGCCACAATGGAAAGTTAAAATTTTACCCTTAAAGGAATATTTAGTTAGGGGGAAAAAAATCATAATAATCATGTTTACTTAATTATGTTGAAATATATGTCTTAATATATCTATAATATATACATTGAAATGAATTAAGCCTTATAAAATGTTTTTATACTATTTTATTCTAAGGAAGAGGAGGCCCCTCTCATGTTCTCTGAGGAGCCTAGGAAGCATGTTTGGCTTCAGTCCCCTGCAGCCTGCCCCCCTGAGATCTCTCTCCCGGACCCCGAGGCGGAGTTTAGGGCAATGCACCAGACAGACAGAGGTAGGAAGTCTTGAAATATTAATGTAACAAATGATTGAGAGAACACATTTCAGGGTCTGCCAGACATATAATGAGCTTAAATTTGTTTACTACTGGTAATCAATATTTTTTTCAGGACACATTACTGTATTTTAATCAATTGAATAATACTAAATCATTTTTTAGCTCCCCTGAGCTGAAGGCTCAAGTGTGCTTTTCTGGTCACATTTTTTCTGTTGTCGATCTGTCCATCTGTCTGTTTGTGTGTTAACTTTTCACATTTTGACTTCTTTCCAAGAACCCCTGGGCCAGTTTTGACCAAACTTAGTACAAAGCATCCTTGAGTGATGGGTAGTTTAAATTTTTAAAATGAAGAGCCAAATTTCCTCACAGGGGGAGATAATCAAGAAAAGACAAAAGTAGGGTTTGGACAATAAAAAATCTTCTTCTAAAGAACCACTGGGCCAGAAAAGCTGAAACTTATGGGGAAGCATCCTAGCTGGGGTAGCTGCAATAATGTAGACCTCTCAGATTTTTTAAAATCTGATGTTTTCTGTAGAGGGCTACAATCCGTCGCGTCTCCGTAATGGTGCAAATATTTTTTTGAAATAGGAGCGACTGCAGGCAAAATAAATTATTTTTACATTCAACTTACTTCCAATAAGACGAAATTTTTATTCACTGTCAACAACAGAACCCGGTAAATGCGAAAAACTTGTAAAATAACTCTGCGAGTTTCCTGGTAGTTTACTTCAGCAGCCATGATAGTTCACGTGTGACGTAATGAGACTTCCGCTTGAAATTTAGAACAACTAAATAAAGAAAATGCAGGTGTTTATAAATGATTGTGATGAATTGTATCACAAAAACATCGGTAAATAAAAACATTGTAAATGTTATATCTATGCAAGCAGCGATATTTATATGCTTAAAATAAGGGAATTCCAAAAAGATTCACTCCTATAGAACCTAAATTCTCATTGGCTGTCCAAAAATACAATCTATCAAGGTCAGTAAACATGGCAGATAAATTCGAGTTGTGATGTTGACATACACGAAAAATAAGTGATACTGTACAGCAGGTAATTAACTCGCGGAGTGAAATTTGGAAGCTATATTCGCGATAAAAAAATTCAGATAAAAAATGACCGTAATGGGCAAATATTTTTTTGCGGGGTCACAATTCAACAATTATTTTTACAGTGAATAATTCTTAAAAAGTTTTATAAGGATAAACTGAAATTTTATTATTTTCTGTGATTAGATGTAGACAGTCTTTATAATTATGCGAGTGTCTGGATCAATTACAAACACGTAGTTGTTGCTATTTTAAAAGCTTCTTAATTGTTTAATTCATTTCTATAGCTTACGATTAATTTGCCATCTAGTAGAAGTGAAATGTAATTATTTATGAAAACATGTTTGTTTAATTTCACCCGTGCGTATCACTCAGTCATTACCTTTAATCAAGGCATTTACTTAGTCAACAGGGTTACGACAGTTAATTAATTTCAATTACATGATTAAAAGTTCAACATTCTTACTACGGTATAATTTTTTTTTTCTGATTTGGACCCGGAAATAAACAAAAATTAAATGTGTAGCATTATTTTGACTTCAAATCGGGAAGTCCGGTGTTTCATTATTATTAAATCGGGATCAAAATCGACACAATATATAGACTTTACTTTTCTGTCTGATATGCGCAATATACAGCTCATATACATCACAGACTTTAGAACAACTAAATAAAATGCAGGTGTTTATAAATGATTGTGATGAATTGTACACAAATATACATCGGTAAATAAAAACATTGTAAATGTTATATCTATGCAAGCAGCGATATTTATATGCTTAAAATAAGGGAATTCCAAAAAGATTCACTCCTATAGAACCTAAATTCTCTGTCCAAAAATACAATCTATCAAGGTCAGTAAACATGGCGGATAAATTCGAGTTGTGATGTTGACATACACGAAAAATAAGTGATATATGGATTGTTCTGTATATTTTTGGATTGATTTACGTCTTGGATGACTACTTTTTTGTAGTCAAGGTAAGAAATGTTAATAAAATAGCCATTTACTGACAATTTGAGCCAAAATTCATGTGGGAGCGAATCGCTCCTGCTGTGCTCCATTACGGAGATCCTAAGGAGTTGTAGCCCTCTCCCAAAAAAAAGGAAGAGGGCTACATTATTGCAGCTAATCCTGGGGTAGTGTAGATTCTAAATTGTTCAAATCATCCATGATCCTCGATGTGGCCCATGGGCCTCTTGTTTTTCAAGACACATTAATGTCGTAATCCAATAACTTTTTCCCTGTTTTATTCATGTAAATATTGGTATCATATATACTGAGATTTCTTCTAAAGGTGATATCAGACAAATTGTCAGCACACACTGGATAAAAAATTGAAAGTAAAAGTATTAAGTATCTATAATGTATATATCACAAGTCATCGGGTTGTATTTCTGAGGACAGTTAATTTAAGTATTATGAACAAAAGACCAGTCTTTATGTCCAGCTGTGGGATTTTTAAATGTTTGTGTGGATTAGCTTAATTATTACTCCATGACTCTTGATCAAAAACACTTTAACATGAAATAGCCAATATTTAACAATTGTTTTAGTCATGAAGATAATTGTGATTATGATTCCAGTTTCTATTTTAGAAGATGAGAGATGTGATGCACCCTGTGATCCTGACCCTCTGCCCCCAGCCCAGCCCCCAGTGGTCTTCTTCCCAGACATTGAGCCAACCCTGCCATGGCGACAGAGCTCTGTCCAGCAGCCTACCATATCTGATGATTCTGATGATGGAAGACTCCAGGAGCCCGACGAGTGCCGGCTGGAAGGTGAAGGTATGGAGTACAGGCTTACAGAGTCGCCTTCACCACTGTCTCCAGTGGTGTGTTTCCAGGAAGTCTCACCCACACTGAACTGGATTCAGACCTCTAGGGAGGAACGATCCACCATTCAGGAGGGGAGGCTTCGTGGAAATGAAGAACTCTGTGCATCTGCCCTGCCGACTCCTACACTACCCTCTGTAGTGTTTCTCCAGGAAGTCCAGCCTTTCCTGAACTGGATACAGACCTCTCAGGAGGAATGTTTCAGCCCTCTGAAAGGGGGGCATCATGGAGAGGAGGAACTTCAGCCTTTAGCTGAAGGTCAGGGTTTACATCTCAGTCTGTCAGGGGTGTCCACTGTTCAGAGTAGAAGAATTCAGGAAGAAAGGGAAATGCAGCATGTAGACTGCAGTGTCATCTTTTTGGTTTGTCCCCCTTTGAGGGCCTCTGGCATTGCTTTTTGGGTGAGCAGTGATATGCCCCATGGTGTACATCATCCCATGGACCATACCAACTTTTTTGATTTGTGTCCCCTTTTGAGGGCCTCTTATATTGCTCTTTGGAGCAGTTATGTACCCAGAGATGTACGTCCTCATCTTTATCGTGTCAGTACCAACTCTTTTGGTTTGTATCCCCTTTTGAGAATCTCTTATATTGCTCTTTGGAGCAGTTATATACCCAGAGATGTACATCCTCATCTTTATCATGTCAATACCAACTCTTTTGGTTTGTTCCCTTTTGAGGCCCTCTTATATTGCTCTTTGGAGCAGTTATATATGCAGAGATGTACATTCTCATCTTTATCGTGTCAATACCAACTCTTTTGGTTTGTGTCCCCTTTTGAGGCCCTCTTATATTGCTCTTTGGAGCAGTTATAAACCCAGAGATGTACATTCTCATCTTTATCGTGTCAATACCAACTCTTTTGGTTTGTGTCCCCTTTTGAGGCCGTCTTATATTGCTCTATAGAGCAGTTATATACCCAGAGATGTACATCCTCATCTTTATCGTGTCGATACCAACTCTTTACCCAGAGATGTACATCCTCATCTTTATCGTGTCAATACCAATTCTTTGGTTTTTTAGCAAAAGAGGCCCACATATAATGCTCTGTGTAGCAGTTATTTACCCAGAGATGTATTTCTTCATCTTCACATGGACCATACCAACTTGTTTGGGTTGTGCCCCTTTGAGTGCCCCTTATTTGCTTTATGGATGTGGACCCTGACTTCCTGAATTCCTCCCAGGAGATTCAATCATCAATTTAAATTTCATTTTTTTTCTCTGGGCTCTTCCTCCCTTCTACCATTTATTTCTCAATTATCCCTTCCCTCTCCTGTTTAGTTGGTATTCAGCCCCCTATCATCTTAATGGTATATTTCCCACCCATAGCTTATCTCTGATTTATTAATTAAGTTAAGGTTAGATGTAGGTGTTAGTTTCCCATCCCTCCCCTGTTTAGTTAGTATTCAGCCCCCTATCATCTTTAGAGTATATTTCCCACCCATAGCTTATCTCTGATTTATTAATTAAGTTAAGGTTAGATGTAGGTGTTAGTTTCCCATCCCTCCCCTTTTTAGTTAGTATTCAGCTTTCCCAATCATCTCTATAGTATATTTCCCACCCATAGCTTATCTCTGATTTATTAATTAAGTTAAGGTTAAGTGTAGGTGTTAGTTTCCCATCCCTCCCCTGTTTAGTTAGTATTCAGCCCCCTATCATCTTTATAGTATATTTCCCACCCATAGCTTATCTCTGATTTATTAATTAAGTTAAGGTTAAGTGTAGGTGTTAGTTTCCCATCCCTCCCCTGTTTAGTTAGTATTCAGCCCCCTATCATCTTTATAGTATATTTCCCACCCATAGCTTATCTCTGATTTATTAATTAAGTTAAGGTTAAGTGTAGGTGTTAGTTTCCCATCCCTCCCCTGTTTAGTTAGTATTCAGCCCCCTATCATCTTTATAGTATATTTCCCACCCATAGCTTATCTCTGATTTATTAATTAAATTAAGGTTAGGTTAATCTCATGAATGCAATGTCTATATGAATCAATCATGCACACACCGCCATTATAGGCATTGCAATCATGGGATATATAGTAGTATTTGGGTTTTTTTTATATTTATTTCCTGTTTAAAGTAAATGACCTTCCCTCTCCAGTTTAGTTAATATTCAGCCCTCTATCATCTTTATGGTATATTTCCCACCCATAGCTTATCTCTGATTTATTAATTAAGTTAAGGTTAGGTGTAGGTGTTAGTTTCCCATCCCTCCCCTGTTTAGTTAGTATTCAGCCCCCTATCATCTTTATAGTATATTTCCCACCCATAGCTTATCTCTGATTTATTAATTAAGTTAAGGTTAGATGTAGGTGTTAGTTTCCCATCCCTCCCCTGTTTAGTTAGTATTCAGCCCCTCATCATCTTTATAGTATATTTCCCACCCATAGCTTATCTCTGATTTATTAATTAAGTTAAGGTTAGATGTAGGTGTTAGTTTCCCATCCATCCCCTGTTTAGTTAGTATTCAGCCCCCTATCATCTTTATAGTATATTTCCCACCCATAGCTTATCTCTGATTTATTAATTAAGTTAAGGTTAGATGTAGGTGTTAGTTTCCCATCCCTCCCCTGTTTAGTTAGTATTCAGCCCCCTATCATCTTTATAGTATATTTCCCACCCATAGCTTATCTCTGATTTATTAATTAAGTTAAGGTTAGGTGTAGGTGTTAGTTTCCCATCCCTCCCCTGTTTAGTTAGTATTCAGCCCCCTATCATCTTTATAGTATATTTCCCACCCATAGCTTATCTCTGATTTATTAATTAAGTTAAGGTTAGGTGTAGGTGTTAGTTTCCCATCCCTCCCCTGTTTAGTTAGTATTCAGCCCCCTATCATCTTTATAGTATATTTCCCACCCATAGCTTATCTCTGATTTATTAATTAAGTTAAGGTTAGGTGTAGGTGTTAGTTTCCCATCCCTCCCCTGTTTAGTTAGTATTCAGCCCCCCCCCCCCACCCTTCATCTTGATGGTATATTTCCCACCCATAGCTTATCTCTGATTTATTAATTAAGTTAAGGTTAGATGTAGGTGTTAGTTTCCCATCCCTCCCCTGTTTAGTTAGTATTCAGCCCCCTATCATCTTTATAGTATATTTCCCACCCATAGCTTATCTCTGATTTATTAATTAAGTTAAGGTTAGATGTAGGTGTTAGTTTCCCATCCCTCCCCTGTTTAGTTAGTATTCAGCCCCCTATCATCTTTATAGTATATTTCCCACCCATAGCTTATCTCTGATTTATTAATTAAGTTAAGGTTAAGTGTAGGTGTTAGTTTCCCATCCCTCCCCTGTTTAGTTAGTATTCAGCCCCCTATCATCTTAATACTATATTTCCCACCCATAGCTTATCACTGATTAATTAATTATGTTAAGGTTAGGTTAATCTCATGAATGCAATGTCTATATGAATCAATCATGCACACACCGCCATTATAGGCATTGCAATCATGGGATATTATAGTATCTGGGTTTTTTTTATATTTATTTCCTGTTTAAAGTTAATTACCTTCCCTCCCCTGTTTAGTTAGTATTCAGCCCCTATCATCTTTATAGTATATTTCCCACCCATAGTTTATCTCTGATTTATTAATTAAGTTAAGGTTAGGTGTAGGTGTTAGTTTCCGATTCCTCCCCTGTTTAGTTAGTATTCAGCCCCCTATCATCTTTATAGTATATTTCCCACCCATAGCTTATCTCTGATTTATTAATTAAGTTAAGGTTAGGTGTAGGTGTTAGTTTCCCATCCCTCCCCTGCTTAGTTAGTATTCAGCCCCCTATCATCTTTATAGTATATTTCCCACCCATAGCTTATCTCTGATTTATTAATTAAGTTAAGGTTAGGTGTAGGTGTTAGTTTCCCATCCCTCCCCTGTTTAGTTAGTATTCAGCCCCTTATCATCTTTATAGTATATTTCCCACCCATAGCTTATCTCTGATTTATTAATTAAGTTAAGGTTAAGTGTAGGTGTTAGTTTCCCATCCCTCCCCTGTTTAGTTAGTATTCAGCCCCCTATCATCTTAATACTATATTTCCCACCCATAGCTTATCACTGATTAATTAATTATGTTAAGGTTAGGTTAATCTCATGAATGCAATGTCTATATGAATCAATCATGCACACACCGCCATTATAGGCATTGCAATCATGGGATATATAGTAGTATTTGGGTTTTTTTATATTTATTTCCTGTTTAAAGTAAATTACCTTCCCTCCCCAGTTTAGTTAGTATTCAGCCCCCTATCATCTTTATGGTATATTTCCCACCCATAGCTTATCTCTGATTTATTAATTAAGTTAAGGTTAGGTGTAGGTGTTAGTTTCCCATCCCTCCCCTGTTTAGTTAGTATTCAGCCCCCTATCATCTTTATAGTATATTTCCCACCCATAGCTTATCTCTGATTTATTAATTAAGTTAAGGTTAGGTGTAGGTGTTAGTTTCCCATCCCTCCCCTGTTTAGTTAGTATTCAGCCCCCTATCATCTTTATAGTATATTTCCCACCCATAGCTTATCTCTAATTTATTAATTAAGTTAAGGTTAGGTGTAGGTGTTAGTTTCCCATCCCTCCCCTGTTTAGTTAGTATTCAGCCTCCCCCCCCCCCATCATCTTGATAGTATATTTCCCACCCATAGCTTATCTCTGATTTATTAATTAAATGAAAGTTAGGTGTAGGTGTTAGTTTCCCATCCCTCCCCTGTTTAGTTAGTATTCAGTCCCCTATCATCTTTATAGTATATTTCCCACCCATAGCTTATCTCTGATTTATTAATTAAGTTAAGGTTAGGTGTAGGTGTTAGTTTCCCATCCCTCCCCTGTTTAGTTAGTATTCAGCCCCCTATTATTTTTATAGTATATTTCCCACCCATTGTTTATCTCTGATTTATTAATTAAGTTAAGGTTAGGTGTAGGTGTTAGTTTCCCATCCCTCCCCTGTTTAGTTAGTATTCAGCCCCCTATCATCTTTATAGTATATTTCCCACCCATAGCTTATCTCTGATTTATTAATTAAGTTAAGGTTAAGTGTAGGTGTTATTTTCTCATCCCTCCCCTGTTTAGTTAGTATTCAGCCCCCTATCATCTTTATAGTGTATTTCCTACCCATAGCTTATCTCTGATTTATTAATTAAGTTAAGGTTAGGTTTAGGTGTTAGTTTCCCATCCCTCCCCTGTTTAGTTAGTATTCAGCCCCCTATCATCTTAATACTATATTTCCCACCCATAGCTTATCACTGATTAATTAATTAGGTTAAGGTTAGG